CAGGCTTTCTGGATTTAAGCTTATGTCTAGTTGCAAGACAGTGTTTCACTGTGAAGCCGTGGGGCTCAGGCTTTAATTCTTGAGCAATACCAATTCCAGAAGCATATCTGCACATGCCAAGTAGTCAGTCTTACTGTTACAAATAATACCTCAGCTGGAGAGAGAATAGTACTTAGGGGAAGAAAGAGGAATGTCACTGCCTCTAGGAGAAATACCAAGGAAATGGTGTTGTGCTGTCTGTGGCAGTAGGTTCCCTAGCTTGGGACACCTTGGCTAAGACTTGCAGTAAACTCATTTCCTGCGTCTGTCTACTTTCAAATGCAATCTGCAGCACTCAGTCTGTTACTGCAAATAAAGCAGCGCATGTGAACATCTGCTGATCGAGGGGGAACCGTGTAGCTGCGTCTGTTTGGAAGAGAAGACTGTAGCGGCGCGTTACCAGCCTTGAACAAACACAACCGGCTCGAGTTGTCCAGGTCAAAGGAGTTCTGGTGAAGGATCTTTCTTTTTGCCAGCTGTTATTTTTGAACTTCGAGATTTTGAAAACTGAGCCAGCCAAGCGTTTGTGAAAGAAATTAAAACAAGGAAGAAGATTAGGGCAGTATTTCTTGTACTAGGACACGGACAGTAGATCTGTTTTGTTTCTGACCAGCAGCGTTTCAGCCCTTAATGCTTTCTTAGGAGCGATTTCAATAGCTTGTATTTGGGTGAAGGCTTCACCAAAAACACTTGATATGGTAACTTCAGTTGTTTATTTTTAGAAGAAGTTGGAAAAAGTTTAAAATGTTGAAAAAGAGTAAGGTTTCTCAGATGTTTTTGAAGTTCTAAGGGCATTTTGCTACGTGCCAGTTTAATTTGTCCCTGTGTTGAATTCTTTCTGTTTGTCTTGAGATTGATACCGAGTGTCATCATCTGTGGAAGAGCATAAAGCCCAGAGGTGAAGAGGGAAAGTTTTTTGGGTTTTTTTTGTTGTTGTTGTTAATGATATTTTGTGCCATCATATAATTTTTTTCCCCTGAAAATCTTAACAAAAGCAATACTTCTATTTAAAAATGTTTGTGTTCCAATAGCTCCTGGAAGTATTTTATCTGGTTTAGAGCTTTTATGCTATTTTCCTTGTGGACTCTGCCCACGAGGATTTTAGCTTTCGGTAAAAGCACTGGTGGTTAATTTCTGGTGTAACGATTAAATCTCTCTTACAGAACATCTTATGGCTGAGAATTGCTGATGTCATGACTATCGTTCAATGGTTGCTATGGAAATCAAGTAGGAAGACATTCAATATTAATACCGCGTTCCTCCTATGTGCACTTTGATGATGGAAAAGTACTCGCTTTCTCTGGGCACGCTGGCTGCGGTGATCCTTGTGACAAGGAGTGCTCTTTGCAAACGTGTCCAGGGTACCCCCTTCCTTAACATTCTGCGAAGTCGTCAGCTGCCGTGATGTTGGCTTCTGCAGTCCACATCGATTTTGTGCACCCAGTTAATTATCTGTCTCGGCCCTTGAGTGTGTTTGTGGTTACGGGTCATACCGGATTGGCGTGGGATTTTACTTCTATAGGACGAGTAGCTGCCCAGGGACTTGACAGTATGTTTCTTCTTCTTTAGTTTGAAAGGGAAGTTCCTTTCAGAGATCTTGAAAGATTGTGTCTTGAAGTGTGGGAATTGTGTATCTGCTTTACAAAGTGGTTTCCATGCAATCTCTTTCCTGTGACGGGGCAACAGTTTGGTTTATTTTTGTTAAGTTCTGAATTCTGGTGTTTAGCTTTAGAACCGTTTGGGGTTATAAGGAGCAGACCGTGTCTTAATCTAACTAGCAGCTCTATTTTTTGCCTCTATTAAATTTTGAAATGACATTTCATAAAATGCTGTTACAGTAATGAGTTGTGCTAATATTTTGAATTTAAGGTTAGGTTATGATTTCATTTCAGTTTAACCCTTTTGATTAAGGGTACTAGAAAAGGTCTGTAGCAGAGCTGTTTGCTGAGTTTCTTGAAGAAATATTTCTGTCTTTGATAATTACCTGTTAAAAATCAGAAAATTATTGTAGCAGTGGTTAATAAGTACAAGAGCCATGTATATATCTGCTGTCTGTGTAGTGGTGGTGGTGGTGGTGGGGAGAAGTTTTTAGAAATAAGCTTGAAGACTTTGAAGGGGACCTGCTGCTTAAGGACACTGCTGAAAGCAAGGCCACAGCATTCTGATTACACGGTTGAAAATAGTTTCTGCAAGAAGGAAACTTTACAATAATTGCTATCTATAAGGGATTAATACACCACCACCCCAGGAAAAAAAAAAACACAACAAAACAAAACAACAGAAAAGGAAGGATTTTGAAACTTTGTGTAAAATGTACAAGGCCACTGATAGTGATGGTGCAGAGCTTCTGCAAAAATGGTGCAATGGGAAGAACAAGTCGGGGGATGTTTTTTTGACGAAGGGCTTAAAGTGTAAGTGCAAACAAAGCACCTTTTGTCCTCTGTGTCATAAAGAAGTATTGTGTGGCAGTGTAATTTCTTTTATAATTCAGAATTGATTGATGCTCAGTGAGGTCTGCGGATTGTACCCTTTTGGTGTGGGTAGATGCACTTGATACGTGCAATAATGTCCCCATTCACTGGAGTGGAAGCAGGACTGAGAACTGCAGCTGAATTTGCTGTCCCTAGCAGCAGCGGCAGGACTGATTGCTGGAAGTCAGAGCATGGGACCTGAACAGAGGTTTGGCAACACGGGGAGGGGGGAAATGGTTGTCTGTTTTGGAGCGTGACATGAGGCGATATTTACCCTGCTCCGTTTCTCCCCTTTCCGAGCGAAAGGCAGGTTGCCAGGTGTGGGAACGGAATGGTTTGGATCTTTGGGAAGATTTAGCCTGCACAGGCACAGATAGCTCAGGAAATCTGACAGTTGTCCTCTATTTGTGTGATACTTCATGGTCATGTGAATTTAGTTGGCTCCTTCCACACACGTATCTCTTCTTTCTGCTCTGCTAAACCTCAGCCTTGTTCTCGTCTATACCCCTCCCATTTTGAAGAGAGGTTGACAAGCTTTCTGAAGTTCAGTAAACCCTGTTACAAATACCCACAAACAGAGGCTTTCTGTATCTCTGAAACTTCCAGAACTGAAGACCCATCCACGATAGCTGCTAGTATAAATATATACTTCCAGACACATAGTAAACACATCTTTAGTTGCTACTATTTGTGTATTTTTAGGATTAAAATTTTCTAGTTAGCGTGTGTTCTGGAGAAATGAAGATCTTGTGCAAATGTTCAGCAAGCTCAGCTGAGGGAGAGCAGTTGCTGTTTTGGCAGCTCCGGCATTCAGCCTCACAGAGCTCGTTTTGAAAAAGCTTTAAAGTGTCAGATCTCTTTTATTTACCTTGTAGTTTCTATGCAATTTATTTTTCAAGCTGTTCTCCAGCTGTGAGGGCTGGTTTAAATGAAATTCTTGCAGGACTGTTCCATCCAGATTTACTCTATTCTAAAAATGCCACATAGTGAGATTTAATGTTAAAGCCCTCTGTCATTTAAGATCTTTTAAATCTTTCAGCAGTTTAATGATATGTAGAGTCGCCTTTCTTGGAACATCTTGGCTTGCATGAAAAAAACCTTTGCTTTGAAATTTCGATTAAATCTTTAAAACAGTCAGACTTGGTCAATTTAGTTGAATCTGTTATGTTATTCTGATAGTGCTTCAAGTGGTGCTAAAGAGTGAAATCATTTTTGTCCATCTCGTTAAGTATGGTCTCCTAGCTAGTGAAACAAAAACTAGGAGATGTCAGGTAACTCCTGACAGACTGTCGTGATGGAGTGGGACTTCTCAACAGGTTATTAAACCTCGGTTTACCACTGCATTAAGTGACACAGGTATTGATTCTGAGATTTTTGAAACCATCTCTTTGCTCTCTAGCTAATCTAGAGTACAAATGCTAAATTGCAGACAATTATTACAATGCTGCGTCAATTGGGGTAAGCTGCTTTGATCTACACCTCTTATTACAAAACTTCAGAAAGCTGCAGTAATTTCTACAGTGTTCTTAAAGAGTAAAGTGCTTTGAATAAGGGTATGAATGTTTCTGAGAGAACATTTCTTTCCTCTGTCAAAAAGAACTATGATTGGAAAACTTGGAGATTTTTATTTTTTTTTCATTTTCTTTCCCAGGATGCAAAATGAAATTATCCACAGTACCACAAGTACTACGCTCTGATGTCTTTCTTGAAATTGCTTTCTTTATACGCTATTATTATTCTGGGTTATTAATTTAAAAGCTTTGAAACTTGCAGTTTCTATTCACTGTTGTTTTGCTGGTTTTTTTAAAGCAGTGCTTGGGAAGATGAATATACAGAAAAAAATGATTTTTTTTTTTAAACCTTTAGTGAGAATGATGAATGTTTCACCATCCAAGCAAGAGCCTGGTGTAGTAATGAAGATAAACAATTTTGATTTGCATTTTAAAAAAAATAAAAGGGCTAGGGAGGGGAGGGAAAATAAGAAGGATGCTTTCTGTTTGCAACATTGAAATCTCTTGTATTTGCATATAACATTCAAGTATGTTTGGTTACCTTACTGTGTAGTATAATTCATTTTTTGATACTGAACATACTTATCATTATTTTAAAATTATTTATTCACAAGCATCTCTATCATATTTAGGATTTTCATGCTATACCAGCAAAAAGAGAGGGACTAAAGCTCATGCTGAGTAAACAGGAAAATAGTGTTCTGCTTTTTCAATTTATTTTTAATTCCTCCCACCAGGTAAGGAAAGTCTGTTTTTCCCTCAGAATGTCTAGATGTATTATGCTTTTCTGCTGGCGCTGGTGCCCCGTATAAAGGCCAAGTCAAGCCTCCAAACACAGGCCTCAGAAGAAGGCTGCAAAGTGCTGTTCGTGGCTGTCGCCTCAGCTGTGCCAGCATGATTTCAGAGCTGGAGGTTTTTAAAGCCAGGGAGTTCGAGGAGCTGCCGTTAAGCTTTTCTCCCCCTCCTCTCTTTCCTGCAGTACCTGGGGCACGTCGAAGTGGATGAGTCCAGAGGGATGCACATCTGCGAAGACGCGGTGAAGAGACTGAAATCTGTATGTATGTTTGTTCCCTGGAGAGAGTTGGCTCTGGGGCTGGGAGCATTGCTGGAGGAGCTCTGCGCGGCGGCAGCGTCCCAGCGAAAGGCTGAACTTGTGACCCACGTTAGGAGAACAGTTGGCCGGTTTTTGAGAGCACTGCCGCGGCGAGGGGGACGTGCTAATCAGACGATGAGAGGGAGAGAGTTACAACTGTTCTTTCTGCTCGCAGAAACTATTTGCAAAACAAATGTGTAAAAATCCTCTGTGACCTTTCAGGCTAAGTTGGGACCCACATGGGACATCAACCATTGTATTTTAACAGTTCTTTCTCCCTCTCTCTCTTTTCCTCTCCCCCTCTCTCTCCCTCTGTTGCCTGCCACTTTAATAGTGACTTAATTCACTGTTATTTTGCAAAATATTACTCGATTCAGGCTGCTTTTTTTCTAATGCACTGCAACATTGTAGTCATGCATGAAATAATCTGGCTTGCATCTGCTGCAAGTGGCCTGAAGGCTGCCTAATTCTGATTTGTCATGAAGCGGGCTGCTCTTAGCTTGGCTTCTGTGAACGTTTGCTCCTGGAAATGGCACTCGTTCAAAGCTCTTTGTATTTCTGTGGCTCATTTGAAGAGGTCTTGTCATCTCTTTCCTGCAGTAGTAATATCACAAAATCCTGCGGAAACAGCAAACTCCAGAAAGGCAGCAACCAGCCTATCGAGGAACTTTGCCTGAAACAGCATTTAAGAGAGCAGAAGGAGAAAGGACATTGAAATTCAAAGTTTGGATAGGCATAGGGAACTGCAATACTTTTCATCGCTTCTCTTGTGTCTTAGCTCTATGCATTCTTCAGCGATGCCTTTAGCAGAAGAAACTCTCGTATCCTTGCAGCTCCGCAAAAGTACTGGAAGTACATGAAACACTTCAGCTGCGCCTTTGCTAACTTAAGGTATCTGCTGTTGGACATCACTTTTTTTTTTTCCTCGCACCGTGTAAGAACTGAGACGGCTTCCACGGGAACCTGTTCTCCCCTTCCATCCTAGCACACAGCAGAGGATTATAGGTTATCTTTTCTGCCTTCTGTTGTGCCATAAAGTTTTTGAATTGGTTTAGTGTTCTGATTAAAATCAAGTCTTTTCGTTCTTTTCTCTCTCGGCTAACGTATAGCAACCTGTTAAAGCCGCATCCCATCTGTTCCCATTCAGTGCAACAGTGATTGGTGATTGATTTTTATCAAAAAGGGCTGCACAAAATATAAATGAGTTTCTTTTATTCTGTGGATTTAATTTACGTAGCTAGAAGTGCAAGTACTGCCCACATAATGAATTGCATCCGTTTTTGTTCTGTCAGAATACTTTCTGTGAGCACACCAGATATCACTGCAGTATCATCCTATGGTTCTATGATCTCCTTCATGCAGCTTCTCTCATTCTCTTCCCTGGGGAGCTATGCTGTGAAGCAGTTGTTCTGTGACTATTTTTTTAAACACTTTAAGCCCACAAGCCAGTTAAGTGTCGCTAAGCTAGTAAATAATGAGGCACAGTAAAAGCATAGCACTCAGTTTCTTCTGCAATCTCAGTAACCCCAGGATTGTGATTCTTGATCACCTGAATTCTTGATTCACGTGTCAGACTTGGATATCCAACTTTGAAAGTTCATTCTCTGGAAGTAAATTTCATTTCCCTATTCTGTGCTATGTCACTATTCCAAATTATGGACAGCATCCACGTACCTGCTTTCGTAAATTCAATGTTTTTCTTCAGAGAACTTTGATTTCTTCTGTCACTTGAAGTTGTTGTCTCTATACAGATTGGACGTAAGCGCACATCTCTCGGGGCTGCCGTTTGCATTGTCTCCTTTCTATTCAGTGCTGGAAGTTGAGAAGCAGACGTGGGATTCTCTTTGGGCCCCAAGAGGAGCACTCAGATTGCTGAAGCCACTTTGTCCCCTTTAGTTGCTCGACTCCATCAGATCCAAGGTTCATTCGGAGCAGTTCACTGTGAGCTGACCCTGCCTCCACCCCCAGCACATCGGTCTTAAACTGGGGGCGTTTCTTTAGGACTCTGCTAATTACTGGAAGCTCTTTCCTGTACAGTATGCTCTCTTAATTAGCGAAAGCCAAGCGGCTGGATGATGTTGCAGCACGCAAGGAATGTGATAAGAAAACAGTCTGTTCTTTTGGTAGTCACTTGCTTTCACAGTACTTTGTTATTCTGATGGGCTTTGTCTTGGTCTTGAAAGAATTACAGGTTTGAGCTGCAGCGCTCAAACTGAAAGACTGGCTGCAGGGAAATTGGACTTCGCTTCTCATTTGGTTAAATGACATCGAAATGTATGTGGCGAGTTTTAATCTTTAATGTTTTCTCTGCAGTTAAGGTGGAAGTTTTCTAAATCCAGTCAAAAATTAGACAGAACTGTTGAAATACTTGCTTTATAGCTTCTAAAAATCAAGTTCTGTCTCCTTATTTTAATAGATTATTTCTTTCCTCTCTCAATTCTTGTTCTCCAACAGTTCACACTTGATTTGGAGGCCTGAAGCCTGTTCTTTTTTAGGGTTGACTAATAGATTTTAAAACACTTTATGGGATTTGTCAAGAAGAATATAGGCCATTATTAATCTTGGGTTTAGGGATAGCTTAATTTCTGCTCTGCTTTTTGAAAGAAAAGATGGAAACAAATCCTTCTGCCTCTTTATTGTGGGAAAATAACGTTTCAAGTTTTGGTATTGTTTTGTTTTTTTTCATTACCTGCTTGTTTAATGTGGTGTAATTGGTTTTGAGCATTACATTTTGCAGAACTTGAAACCAGATGATGGTGACCATTTTATTCAGGCGTTGTTTAATTGACAGCTGAGTAGAAGTTACTTTTAGCCAGAGAATCCGTCATCTATACTGTATTCTGGTTTTGCAGTTTTATAGCCCTGAAATTGCACACCAACAATCCTATAATGCACAGTTTATAATATTGTTTAGAATGAATGAAGACAAAATTATATCTTCATTTTCTGTCTGATGAAGTGACAGTCTCATTAATAGATCAGAAACCCATGTGCTCAGCTCTCAATCTGCTATTAACACAGGTTTATATTACCCACAGAGCTCGCATTTTTCCCTTAGTAGGATATTACCGATGGAGCTCACATTGTTCTCTCAGTAGAGAAACTTTACTAACTGTGTGTGCATTTCATATCTGGTAGGGTCTGTCTGTTTGGACCCTAAGCTCCAAATGACTTCTTCAGAACCATTTCACTGAGTTTAAAATACTTAGTGCAAACTGGAGAATAACTTTGTAAGGGCCCTGTAAGTCTATTTGACTACGGTACGGGAACAGCGTATAAAGACAAAAGTATACTCTCTCATGTCATGTTTTGATTTTAAGTCAGCTTTAGTGGGTAGTATTGGTTTCTAACTTGCCACTTTTTGTTTTAAATGATGCATTTGTTTTAATATATGTTCTTGTTTTAGCAGGTAAAGAGACATAATTTAATACTTTAAAACATGCATTAGTTATCTCTAAACTACTTTAACTTAGTGTTGTTTAAAACCCATTTTGCATGATGCCTTTTCCATTAACCTTGACTAGTTTATTAAAAAAAATAATCTTATTTAACAAGCATTTTGCTGAGAGCAAAATTAACCATCACCTAAAAATGAGGTAGCTTCTGGTGAATCTCTTTAGCTTTTGCTATCTTTAAAAAGCTCTTACTTAGTGTAATGCAACAGTCATTGCTCAACTTGGCAGCAGCATCCAACCCCTTCTCATTATGTGTGCAACACTGTGATTAATCCATTAGTTCCCCTCCTAGTGTTCAGCATATCCTGTCCAAATACATAACCATTCCTGCATCTAAAAATTGGTAAGCTTTTCAGCTGACTGAACTTTATATGTTACTTACATAGTGTCTGAGTTGGCACACATACGTTAGGGATACTCGTCAAAAAGCCCCGTGGAAGGACGTCGGGCAGAGGCACGCAGCCACGGCGGCCAGGAAATGCAGAGTCGAGGTTGACACTCCCTCCCTAAGCTTTGTGCTTCCTGGCGCTCGTTGGCTTGCGTCAGAACCAGAGCTTTGTCTTATGTATGACATTGTTTATCAATCAGTTCTTGAGACACCGCCTCAGGATATTTGTAAGAATATTTTTCGTGTCATTGTCGGCAATCAACAGGTTGGAATTGCAGGGTGTTAGTTTGGGGTCAGAGGCTGTCGCAGAGATGCTCACCGTCTCATCTGCAGTTCTCCACCTCCTTCCCGGTACTGCTATTCCATGGCTTTCTTGCAAGTGACACAATTTGGAAAGAGAGGAAAGATTGGGAACCGCGATACGCTTCGTGCCAGCTTCCCTGAAACGCAGAGCAGTGTGTGGCTGTGCTCCCAGAGCACCAGACCTGGCGAAGTGAGCTCTCGGGAGATTGGACCAGACCTTGCAATTTTCTTTTCACAGTCTGGGAGGAAAATAAAGCCAGTAAACTGAAGCACGTGCAAAGATGCTTAAGATCTTTGCCTTTGCCTTTTCCTTCGTGTGAGTTGAGCAAAACCGGTAATAATCGCTTCCAGACTGAAGAACTTCAGGGAGTTGTAATTCAGCTCTTGGTATCTTTGCACTTATCTGTCCCTGCCTGAGCTGACTCTTCAGCCTGGCAGTTCAGAGTTGTAGAATGAATATCTAGTATTTGTTTTAAATATTATGTAAAGCCTTGGGAAGCTTCCAAGAGAGTGAGAGAGGAAGGGGTCTCAAGTTAGGATGAAATCCCTGTCTGTTCAGAGGAAGCTGCATAAGATGTGAAGTCTAACAGTAGCACGTAAACCAAAAAACAAATAAATGAAATAAAATGAAGCAGCGTTTAAGCCGGCTTTATGCCAGCCATATCTGCTTTTCCAGCTTGCAAAGCATTTGCTTTGGGAAAGACTGATCAATACAAAGCAAACTTGACTGTAATTCTGGAGTTAGACCTTTTGCATTTCACAAGAGCCCACCGTACAGTACTTTAATTGTTTAACCACCATGTCTGCTGCCAGGT